TGATAGGCTTGGACCGGGTGTCAAGCAACCCCCCCGCCCTTGCACCACCCCCAACAAGTGCACAGCCGAATAACACATGAAAACACTCGGAAAATAAAAAGGAACAACATCATTCAAATAGGCTCTCTCTCTCTCTCTCTCTCGACACACGCACACGCACACGCGCACACACATTTTTCTCCCGGCAGCTGATTGGCCGCCATTGAGTCGCAAAACTGGGTACACCTGCACAATCTTATTTGTATCAAAGACGAAAGTACTTAAGCGTGCGTGTGTGTTTGTGTGTGTGTGTGTGTCCACGTAATCGCACAACCAGCCATGATAGGCTTGGACCGGGTGTCAAGCAACCCCCCCCCCCCCCTTTGCACCACCCCCAACAAGTGCACGGCCGAATAACACATGAAAACACTCGAAAATTAACGTAACATCATTCAAATATGCACAGGCAGCAAAACTGGGTACACCTGCACAATCTTATTTGTATAAAAGACGAAAGTACTTAACTGTGCGTGTGTGTTTGTGTGTGTGTGTGTGTGTGTGTGTCCACGTATGCGCGTAAACTCAGCGTTTGTCTACAAAACATGTTTGTCTGTTCAAATGCGCACTGTGATCATGTCAAAACAGTCCCGTACATGCACGTGCAATATGCAAACAATTTATGATGTTAGTTCTCTGGTCCATGCTTTACGTGATTTGATGTTTGCTTCTTCAAGCCAATAATGTCAATTAGTTCATCATTAAAATGAATAAAATAATCAAATTAGCATATTGACTGCTTTCAAATTCACGGCGCGAAGGGAACGGAGGCATCGCACTTTCGTGCCTCACTCAACCATGCACACGTTAATTGCCGACGCAGGCAGTAGGTGGCGCCCTCGCACGAAACATTGCTGTTTGTCTATCTTCATACATGTCGTATCACACTTGCTGATTTTCAACAGACGGTCTAATAAATTGAAAGAATGTGTGTGACATATTTAGTCTGTTTTATCAGCCAGAATAGCGACTGAAAGTGCACGGTAGAGGCACGAAAATACCTTGCTGCTTTCAACTAGCCCACGCGTAATTTTCACAGGGGCTCCATATAGGCCACTTCGAGCCTGCACAGTCATGTCCGTTCATTCACATGATACAGTACACACAAAATGTAAAAATGTCTGCTCAAACATACATACTAAAGTACAGCTCGCTGAAAATTTTGCTTGAGGACAGCGACAAGCTATTTCAACTTTCCACCACTGAACATAAACATCTGTCTGTTCATTCAGAAGTCAGTATCCTACGTATTGCTTAGTTAGACTAAATACCAAGGAGAAGAAAAAAAAAACGTCTGACGAAACCTTCGTGATGGCCTCATCGCTAAGGGTCTTCACTTTGAGAATCTCTAATTGTCACCCCCACCCTCCTCTCTCTCTCTCTCTCTCTCTCTCTCTCTCACTCCCCCATTGCTGTCACACATTCCTCAGCCTTGTAGAATGGTATTTTCTGGCCCGTTTCACAGCCATTGTGTCCGATTGGCCATGCGTCGGCCCAGTTCTCCCCACAAGGTGGTCTGTTCATGCAACACGTCCATCAATGGAGAGGGCCTTCCGCAGCAATATAATTTACAGCTCTCCCCTTTCACACTGCACTTGAAAACTAGCAATAGCTCAGGCTTTACTGCCATTCACATGCTGATTAACTTGATTATTTTTTGGGGGGGGCGAGGGGGCTACATTTTCATGTTTGTCTGCCACTGGGAGGGCCTGGCAGTTTGCACAAAATGTATGCCAGGTTGAAGAGTGCAAACCGACAGATCAACAGTCTTGGATACAGAATAGTATGCGCTAACATAACAACGTGACTCGACTTTGGCCTTTTTTTTTGTGGTAGGGGGAGCACAGAAAAGCAACAAAATGCGTATTTTTGTAAATATCAAACAACCATCAAAAACCTTAATTGATGGGTTTTTCTAAACCTCCAAAATGATTTCGTCTTCACTTCACAAGTGTTTGTTTGTTTTTTAACTGAGAGCAGTTTCGAGTTTTCATAAATGTTGAGGTCAAATTATTCTTCGATGAACCTGCCTTTGGTATTTTAGGAAACACCAAATATAATTGGAGATTGCAGTAAGGCTACGTTCAAATCTTGATCAGAGTTTTAAAACTGCACCCCCGGCCCTTTAAATGCTGTTTTGAGAGCTACAATAAAACTATGTATCCATCTACTGCCATTCACACGAAAGATTAAGTCATGGCTTCCTGTGAGTATATCATTTGTGTTTTCAATTGAACAGGCCTGGATTTTACACGGAATAGCTTGTAGCTCTGTAGCTTGTTTGGTTGTGTGCCATGACATTTTTGTAATGTAAAATACACGCCCTGGGTTAACAAAATTTGAGAAACACTGATTTGAACAACGATGTGCAATGGGGATTATAATTTGAGCATTGAAATCAAACGAGAAGTTGAAATACATCGGGTTTTTTTGGTAAACGGTTGTGTCCCCCTGCTGTTCATTAGTGAGAATGCAGTTCCGGTCTCTAATTGTCTTAAATTGCAAAATGATTTCACCCCTTTGAATTAGGCTCTGTGACACATGAGATTACTCGGAAAACCGCTAAATGACACACAAATGAAGAACATTATCCAAAAATATGTTTATTGCAATTGAAAGTCCCGTCAGAGACAGAATGACAGAAATATTTGATGAGAAAGACAAAACACACTTATACAAAGCAAGCAAGTCTCGTTTCTTATGGCTTCGCTTCCCCCTTTATTATTCTTATTATTATGATTATTAATACTGTTATTATTATTACAGTAGATACGTCCGAGTAGCAATATTAAAAAAACAAAAACAAACAAACAAAAAAAAACTTATTGCTACTTTTTCTTGTATTTTTCATGATGAACATCTACTGGTCTATCACCATCACGTGACAAGAACCAGCGCAATGAGGATTTCCCCAGCGTCCATCCATTCATTCATTTGACGGACAAAAATATTGAGACACACCCTTTGATTGATGGTTTAACCAATTTGGACATCCCACTGCATAAAGCCAGAGCCATAATGGTGTGCTCTGTTGAATTTGGTGGAAAGGAACATTTCCAACAGTCACAATATTATTGTCCATAAAGCGCTGTCCCTCAATGCAACTGGATAACACATTTGCTTTTAACAAACACACACATACACACCAGTTTATTTGCAAAAAAACAAAAAAAAGCTAAAAGCACAGAAAAGAAATTTGGCAAAGCAACGCAGGTTTGTGAGGTGAGTACCACTTTTACAGTAAGGGTAGCATGGACAATTATTCATTAGTTTCTGAACCCGTTATACTTCATATAAGACTTCATAAACAGATGCTGCTTATGTTGCGGTTAGTGTAGGTTGAGGTCAGAGTCAACCTACAGTTGTAGGTTCGGTTTTAGGCTTGGCTGAAGGTTGTGAGTCCACACTGAAGTATGCTAATAGCATCATCTCTCAAAATAGTGAGCAACACTGATCAACGGCTTATGACTGAAAAGGCTTTATGGTTGCATTATTGACACGTGAATAAGGGTACCCCTGTTGTAAAGTGGTACAGAGAAGCGTATATATTGCCATGGCTACACAAAAAGTCCACAAACACCAATACAACAATCGGACCCCTCCGAAAATGACACCATGATGGCCACGGTGTTAGCATTAGCGCTAACAAGGTTCACGAGGACACCACTCGACTTGACGACAGCTAATCCACTGGCACAAAACGGCACCACACAATGAGCTCGGCGCGTACACACAACATAAAATATTGCCGTTATGAGGACACAAATATTCTCACATGTCGCGCTTTGGCCTCTAAAAGCATTTACATGTGTACTTTTTTTAGCAGCGTTTTACGTATTATTTTCGAGTATTTTTCATGACACTTCCATGTTCAGCACAAAGACAAGGCTTTCCCACTCGGTGGTGATGGCTCATTTTGGGAAAATTTTGGGGAGCTATGTCTTTACACCCATGTATTGCACTCAGTAACGTCCCTAAATTGACACATGGCTTATTTTCTCAGACGTCATAGGTTATTAACGTGAAAATAAATTATTCAAAAACAAAACGAAACAAAACAAAAAAACATTAAAAAGGCTTAATGTTAACTGTAGCTTCCAGGTAGTAGTAGATACTAAAATCGGACAAAGTCTTACTTAACGTTGCCATTTTTGTGCTTTTCAAATGCTTATCCCTGCAAAAAGCCACAGCGAGTGCCCAAATTTAATACAGTATACTGTACTCCTAAACGGGATGGCTTTGTCAGCGAAATCAAATTAGCTCTTGATGATGCGGATTTCCATCTTATGTTGGAATTCTCTGAGTTTAGCAGCGAAAAAGGAAGGACTTGACTGACACAGACCATCGGTTTCTCAGAGGAAGAGCTTCTGGAAAACGGAGCAGAGAGCTTCGGGAACTGTTCACACGACACCGTTTTTGATTGAAACATTGGTCCCATACCTCCAAGGTACCAAAAACTGTTTTGGTTTGTTTTTGTAAACGACCCACAAAAGATCAAAGAAATAGATATTTCCTGTGAATCTTTTCTGTCAACGAATCAGTGTTCGGCTGTGTGTCTGGCTCCGCCCTTTAAGTATCATATCATTTGGGTTCGTACGTCAGTGTCAGTGTACGAAAAATTGGTACAGGGCATTAACTTCTCATAGATTGTGTTTAAAAAAAAAAAAAATCTGACAAAGCAACGTTCCAATACACGAATGTTAAAAAAAAAAAAAAAAAAACCTGACAAAGCAATGTTCCAATACACGAATGCTAATAAATAATAATCAAAACAATCAAGAGCAAAATAGTTGTTTTAAACCGTAACAGGATTTGAAATTGGTGCGCGACGCGAACAAACACTTAGGCTGCTACTTCCTCCTTCCAAGAAGCTCCGCCTGTGAGCAATCTTTGTTTCCTGACATCACATGAGGCTGCAGTTCTCTGTCTGCTTCTTGAGGTCCTCCAGCGTGGCCTGGGCCTTGTCCTTGAGCTGGTCCATGTCGACGTTCTGCAGGTTGGACAGCTGGCCCAGCACCGACTGCTTGTGCGCCTCCTCCTGGTTGTCTTCGGCGATCATCTTGGCCAGCTCGGTGGGGAGGACCACGTCGTCGCCCGCCTGCTGAATCTGGGTCTCGTCCAGCTCGTTCTGATTTGGTAAAAAACAACAAAAAATAAACAATAACAAAAAAAACCCCACATTCACACTTTACTAGTGAGCAAAAATCTCTTCCTTTGTTTTTTTATGAAGTTGAAGAAAATTGATGGAAACATCAAGACAAGTTAGATGCATGTGTTTTTTTGTTGTTTTTTGTTGTTGTTTTCGGGAACATGAAAGAAAATGTAGTGTTCCGTCAACCCACTAAAAATACATTTTATAAATGCTTTAAAATTGCTTTAAATAATGAACAGCAACGGCAATTTAGAGCACAAGAAGACCCCTCTAGTCACAAATAATTGTGCCGATTGATACCACAAGATGGCGGAAAGGCACCACTTTTCTATTCGAAAGGACTTTGGCTAGTATAACAGAAGCTCCTCCGCTCACATCAACATGATGGAGCAGAACCAAGATGCCACAAGATGACGCCAAGTATGAATTTTATACGAGGTATTCATGTGTGGCCTCCCAAACAGAATACAGAGACCGCACACACACACACACACGCCGGCACACACACCCATGGCGGGGAAATTTGCACTGCTAGCCTGTGAGGATCACATCCTCTGAAGGCGATGCACCCAATGTGTCAGCGCAAGGTCGTTTTTTTATCCCCGATGAGATGTCCTGTCACATTATAGGCCCGAGTGGGCAAAACACCAAAGCCCGGGTAGCCATCCGTCTTGTCAAGGACCTCACGTGACACCGGCGGGATGGTGGCCGAGCTCTTGTTGTCTTCACGGAATCGCTAAACATGTTTTCTCCATGCTCATGTTTCGCCCCTTGG